CCCCCCATTTTGATTGTAATGTCCTCCTTATATTGTTAAGCGTTGCGCAAACTGTTGGTGCTATAGTGCTATATAAATCCTGTATAATAATCTGTGACTTTACTATTACATGATGCCGATTGGCTGCAGAAACTGGGAAAAGAGCTGGGACAGCAACATTGTACCAGGGGTTTCAATGAGGGATATAATGTGTTGCTAGAATTCTTTAATGGATCCCTTTGTGTAGCCTGTAGTGTATAACAATGTATATCCAGACATGAAATGTTATAAATGTTTATTATTCTGAGCTTCAGTTACGTGCTACTTCTAAAAGTATCCCCGGTGTTTAGAAATAATGATTTATAAATAATGAGAAAACATAAAACTGGAAACCCAATAAAATGATTTTTTTTATATCTAGAAGACAGAAACTTGACCATAAAAGCTGGAATGTAATGTCTCCTGGGTCTGGGTCCTAGATGCCCGTTCTTTATTTACAGTGGAAATGTAATCACAATTACATCTTTTATTCCCTCCTGCTATCTATTCTGTAATAAAGAAAATGTGCCACCCAATTGTCAGGATCCAACACTTACAGAAGTGTCAGATTTCTGGTCCCCTACTGAACTCTGCCGCATTTTATCCTATCACTTAAAAAAAGAACTCAAGGCCCACAAACTTTAATTTAAAGAGATGTTAATGTCAAAAAGTTTTTAAGCCATTCCAAATGCTAATTAAATCATTCACAATGGATGCTGCTTGATGTTTAACAGTTTTAGTTTCCAGCAGAATAAGCTGGTCCCCTGAGCACTGGGCCTGATATCCTGTTTAATGTGGCCCCTTTCCCTTGCAGGGTCCTTTGGAGCCACCCTTGTGTTTGCTACTAAGCTGTGTGCGTGTCTCTAGAAAGACAAGCTATTACCCTGCTCTTTCCTCCCTACTTCTTCCTTCTCCAAGCTAGTAGATGGACAGTTGCTGGAAACTGCTCTGTCCCTTGTGATCTTCTACTGGACAGGAAGTTCAGGGAAGCTGAGCTGAAAGAGTTGGAGCCACTAGTTCAGAAACATGATGACTGTAAGTGCTTGGGCAAGCATTTGAAGAAATAATTTCATGCGCAATGTATATTTGTTTGATCTTGCTTTTTGATTACAAAAAAATGTTTAAAAGTTTATTACTACTTTTAATTATTCTTCAATAGCCACAAAAAATATGAACCCGCTTTGTGTGCATCAGCTGCATTTGCAAATACAGATATTAGCTTGTAAAAGTAGCTGTGACATCATTACTTTTCTGTGATCAGAGCTGTGGGAGGGAACCAAGAGGCTCCACCCACTACAGGCTGCCTGCAGAACATTTCAGGAGGGGGAAGACACAAGACCGGTCACCCTGCAGAAGGAGATAGAGTAGCAGTGACCAGTCTTTATTACAGGAAGTTCCTTCACAGAGGTAACATTTCATGCTGAATTACAGCACAGATCTGGAAGAAATACACAAAGCACACCAAGACTAAAGTATGAATACATGCCTCTTATTGTTTAAAATATTTGCTTTACATTCAGCTTTAAGGTTTATAGTTGGGGTACATTGCTTAGTTTTAGGTTTTCAGTAATGAAACAACATTTCCAGAAATGTTTTAGCATATCTGCTGATTTACTTTTTTATTGCATCAATACAGATTTCTAGGATTGCACAATTATGCGGAGAGCATATGATATATTGCTCCTTAATGGAACTCTTTTCCTGAGTTGCGCTATATCCATCTACAGTATATTTTGGTCTAAGAGTGTCACGCTATCACAGTTTCCCCACTGAAAAACACATGTTTCAATGGGAGCACTTGTGAGTTCATGCACATGTGTTTCTTAGTATACCGGACCACTAATTCAGACTGAATGAGTAAAGCACAAGTTTGCTTAAGGGAGAACTATGGGGTGAGTGAATTACACTCATCCGCTTAGTCAGAGCCGACGTGTGACATTGAAACTAGTGTCACACCAGTGATTTGTCCCCTCCCCGATCCCCCAGCACTGACTGGAGGGGCAGATGGGAGAGGGGGCGGGCATAAAGAGGCAGAGCCAGCTGTCAATCAGCCAGCTGGGTGGACACAGACAGTATTGTCGGGATCCGTCCCGGCTGCGGCGCTCTCAGCATATAGTGGATAAAGGCCCGCTATATGCTGAGTTTTGGGTCACCGGAGGACGTAATATATGTCCTGCGGTGACCAATAAGAGAGCCATGGAAAAAAAACTCACCCCATAGTGCTCCTTTAAAGGTTTAGTATACATTGCTAATAGTTTAGGGCCTGTTCACACTAGCCTGTCCACTAAAGCGCTCTATTTCAGTGGGTGGGCTAGTGTTTTTTGACAGGTCTGGCAGTGTGTGGTGTGATGCACTGTTTAAGTGAGCACTGTTTCAGCGCTTAACACTGTTTACATTTTTTTTATGCATAATGTATGAACGAGCCCTCAGGGTAATCTTTTACTACTGATGCTTTTTATTAAAATTTGTAGAACAGTCAAAATAGCAGACAGTAGGTTGCCTTGCTCCCATAAACTGTGGATTGTGATCAAAAGCTGATTGAAACTGTTTGACAATTGCTGTGTATACTAACCAGCTGTCATTTTAAACAACTGAAAAATTCCTATCTGGAATGGAGCTCTTTTTTGGGGAAAATGCAAAACAAAACTCAGAGAGGTGTATGTGCATGGATTTCAGCCCGGTCATATTTAGAAATGTCTCCCAATGTGTATATCTGAATTACATACATTATATTTTAAACATGTAGCCCCTGTATATTTTACATGTCACTACAAACTTGCTAACATATACTACAAGGTGTTCTGCTTATTCAGATGGTACTCTGCTCCAGACAGGTAAAACCAATTTGCTTATGTTCTGGATACGTGATACCTCCACTGTTTACAGGAGCAAAAGGGAAAGTCAAGTTAAATTTATCACTAGCTACAATGGGTATTTAGGCCGTTGATGAGACTGTTTGTACTCTTACACAATACAAAAAAAGTTTTAAAAAAGAGCTGCTTAACATAAATAACAAAAGATTATATTTGTATATTTTATTCTAAATAATATTCATATTTACAAATGAATACAAATATATCAAAATTCTGTCAGAAGTTTTTACATGGAAAGGAAACTTTTCCTGAAAGACACACGAATGTATCTTGCGCAGCCCTTTATTTATAAAGTAATGAATGTGACATTCAGCAAGCAATCAACTTCTGTAATATAAAACACTTGCACCAGGAAGATTCATCTGCAGCGAGTAGTTAGTGAATGTCACATTTACCACTTCGGGACCATATGATGTACCTGTTTGTCCTGGTCCTGGTGGTTGTACTAATTTCATGTTTGTTGGAGCCATGATTTTGGTATCGTATTTTTCAGCAGGCAACGCTTATTAATTACAAGTGACTTTGGCAGCTGTACAGCCACCCAGATCACTTGTAGCAGCCTGCTAATGTGCTGTCACCCCCTCTGATCATTTTCAGTAGGCTGACAACACACAGGAATTGACATAAACACTGACATGCTTCATGTCTCCTGACGCAGCATGATTGCCATTTATTTAGATATGTGCATCCCGAGTGCATGTACTGTGTGCGTCACTGCCTAGCAGGGGTGGGGAACCTCTGGCCCTACAGCTGCCTGCAGCCTTCGTGCACAGGGCAGCTCAGAACTCCATACAAGGTAATGGGTGTCAGTGCTGTCCCCCCCCCCCCCCCCTCTATGGTTTTCGGGTTCCCTAGTTCCTCTGGGGACCACAGCAAACACTGTCAGGATGGAGAGAGTGGTATCAGCCCAATGTCCTTTCCTATACTGTTCTGTGATGTGTGAAGCAGTGAACGCTGTGCTCACAGCACTTCCTCTTTCACAGCTGGTTACACAGATGAACAAGCACATTCCAATGCTTGATCATCTGTATTGGAGGGCAGGGGAGATAATAGACCCCAGATGTCTCCATATAGAAAACCTGTCACCAAATGCTATCACATAAAGACTTGTAAGAAAAAAAAAAAAAAGTGATAAAAAAGTAAAAATAATAATAAAATAAATAATAATAAAAAAAAAGGAAAACCAACCCTGCTCCCCCTGCCATCTGCATGCAAATAGGCACACACACACTTGGGCATGCATGTGTATGTAAATGATTTTGCCAATGATGTTCCGTATCACCGCAAATCAGATTCACTGTGAACTCTAAACTGATTAGCAGTAAAGGCTTTTAAAATTTCACCAATGGACAGTTTTGAGTTCCATGGTTTTTCACCATTGCACGGGCACACAATTTTAACAAGTGACATGTTTGGTATCTATTTAATTGACATGCAAATATTGTGCTAAAAACAAACAAACTGGAGCTTTATTTTATTTTTATTTTTTTACAGGGCCTCTGTTTTCAGAAAATATGTAATTGTTTGGGCTTTGCAAGTAATTTTCTATCCAAAAATTCAGATTGTAGTATGTGTGTGCAAAAATTTAAAAAATTGCTCCGATACTAAGGTGGTTAAATATAAGACAAAATATGAATTGCTTAAATATAGTACAAATATGCCACTATGTGTCCCTTACGTGGAACAAGCATACAATAAGATTGTTTGACTTTGGAGATATGCATACTTGTTCTAAGTGTGTGACTCAAAGCAGATTGAACCCAGTTGATCAATGCACAGTACTAGCCAGGCAACTTCTTCAGAAGGGGATTGGCAATGGCAGCTTTCATGTGTCTCATACGAAAGGCTTTAAAATAGCGAGCACGATTTTTGCAGATCGCATTGAACCGGAACGCAGGCACTGATGTGCTACGCGTTCTGGTGCGGGCGATAGCACTGCAGGTGGGGTCGGGGCTGTTGTACCATTGTCTTCAACGCCCCGTCACTATACTGAGAGCAATTACAGCAGGATTACAATTACCCTTCAGTTTCTCAGGTAAACACAGCAACCCTTTCTGACAAGCTGGCATACCCAATGCCTGACTCAAACTAAGTTGTATTTACATTGGGGCAGCCATATGTGTCCATTGGATGGCTTCCTGCTTTGCAGTGCTATACAGTGATTGTTTTCCCACTCACAATGGAAGTCTGAGTCAGTCAACTCATTTAAAATGTACTCCCTATGTGGTTAAAATCTTATGTAAACAGTTTTTAAGCAGTTAGCAGATTCACTGTGGTAGAAAACAAAAGGGAACAGAGCGCCACCTCCGTGTGTAAAATCGTTTATTACAATAAATAAAACAAGGGATAAAAGTACTCACAAACAAACGTTTTCATCAGGCTTTAACAACAAACGAGAGGCCACACTGTCTGTTAACCCAACATGGTATCACCCCGACTATGTAACACGGTAGCCTCCGGTCACATCACCGTCCACCGACCGCAGTCAGCCAAGATTGACTGATTCTGATGAAGGGGGCTTGCCCCTGAAACGCGTCAATCTTGGCAAATCTAGGCGTCCCAATACTTATGGCAATATACTGTGTATGTATATCTATAGAGATATAGATATATATACACCTGTATACTGTATATATATTTTTTTTGTTAATTTTTTGTGTGTTCTATTTTTGGTGCTCTCATAAATGGCAACAGATTACATAGGCCAGTGGTTCTCAACCTTTCTAGGGCTGGGACCCCTTGGTAACATTTGCCAAGTTGTGGTGACCCCCAACGGTAAAATTTAGGGACGGCGCGGCTGCTGCAGCGACATCTGCTGCACTAGGAGAGGGCTGAGGAGGACTCTCACCTAGCACAACAGAAATCACACAGCGACCCACAGGTTGAGAACCACTGGCATACGCCGTCAGAATAAAAAA